TTTTTTTTTACTATAGTAATGTTCGATTATATATATTTATTCCCCCCCTGAGTGAGAAAGGAATATGTATCGCGCTCGCTCCCACTCATTGTCGTCTCCGTCGCGTTGGAACAGGGATGCGAGAAAATGACCTGACCGGTCACTGACCGGTCACATGACTGTCAGTGACGGTCATGTGACCGACGGAAAGATGACAATTTTTGGTCATCTGACAAATCTGTGACCATTTTACCATCTGACCGTCACATTCCATCTAGCTAGTGTCCCCCCAGGTGTCACCACTTTGAAATTCAAAAATTCGCAAATCATAACGGCCTTGACTCACGATCAGGAGAATTGGCATGAGTATCGCGATTGTTTCCACTCCACAAAAAATATATGTTATCGTGTTCAAATGCGAAAAAAATAGGAACGCTAAGTTTGCCCTGTTCAATGATGAAGAAGAAGAAGAGGCTGAAAGTTCTGACTAAACTCATCTGCTTTCATCATTTAAATTTTACTTTTTTTTTCTTGACATGGATTATATACTTTGTTATTTGATTTGTGCATTTAAATTGCACAAAGTATTCGTTTCTTTACACTAGTATTCCTGAAAGGAGACTGAAGAGAGCCAAATGATTGACGTTATTTTTTCGTTTAGTTTATAAAAGCATAAACTATTGAAGAGAAACAAATATAGAAGACTGAAAATGGCAAATTTAAGATGTGAGAAGTTTCATAACTGAACTAGAACTCGTTTAAAAATGCAATAAAGGCATTCAAATAAAAATGATAAACATGAAATTTTGAATTATCCAAAAAAATGTGACAACTTTTTGTGACAAAGACATTTCTGACGGTCATTTTACATCTAGCTAGTTGGTTGTAGAATGACATCAGGAAGTGTGACCGAATGTCTGACCTGAGAAAAAATGACGTCACATGACCGTCAGATGACTCATTTTTTTCTGACCTGACCGATTTCAAAACGTGACGTCATCTCGTATCCCTGGAACGTGCCCGTCCACCGCCAAACTTAACGAGTGCGAGTTTTCGTTGTTCTCCAGCGATCTACACATAATGGGATTAATTCAATAATAATAGATTAATAAATAAGATTTTTCGCAGATTATTGCGAGATTTAGATGAATGGTTTGCCTCCTTCAGTGACCATAAAAAATTGTCTCCAATCNATCGACAATATCTCCCGATGGAATGGAACGATGTGAATGAATCAAGTAACAATTTGAATCTTTAAAAAATTAATCGAGAGTGAAAAAAAATCAGGGAATTCCACTCTGACATTTCTCTGTTGTCTGTATTTACCGAGAACAAAAAAGACGTTCCTAGGAATCGATGTTTTTTTTTTAGGCAGCTGTATTTCTGAAATGCAATGAGCAAGCAATGTTAAAATTAAGTCATTTTGTAAAAAATTTCCAGTGACATGATCCTGAAAATCAAAGGAAAGTCTTGAATTCAGGAATGATGTCTGTAGGTCTCAGTAATATTTTCGCGGAAATTCCGGGAACACTTATTGGGAATTTTTATCGCGTTGCCGTAATACGGAAATTTCAAGGAATTTCGTCATTGCAAATTAAAAATTTCTATAAATTTCAGTCCAATTATATGTGTACGTCCACGTGAAAAGGGTCCATCTTATCGCATCTAATTTCCGAGATATTCACGTTTTTCTCTTCACTCCATTTATCCCATTGTTAAATTGATTTTTTGATCTTCTATACGGACGTCACACGGAGAAAAATAAATCGGTAAAAGTCTTGCGATCGCAAGGAGTTTCCCCAAGAATCCTATTTTTCATGCACGAAGAACAATGAAGCTTTTTGGAATCTTCGGGAAATTCTATTCTATCCTACTCTAGTAGGAGCGGAGGAATGAATTTTATAAAGCGCGGAGTAACCCTGAACGGTTCTCCGGCGTCGAGTGAGCGCGGAGGGGCTCCCCCGATTAGAAAATTCATTTCTCACACACCCCCCCCCGCCGACCACCTAATTGCGAACAGGGAATGAACGCAAAATCTATCGACCGAGAATAATATTGTCAATAAATGACAGTTGTTTCATTCCCTTATTCTCTATTAGGACAGGAGGAATGAATTTTCAAAACGCGCAGTAACTCCGAACAAGTTTTTCTCATTCAAAAATTAATTTCTCCCCTCCCTCATTGAGATGAATGAATGAAACCAAAGTCTACAGATTGAGAATTGCATTTTTAATAAATGACATGGGTTTCATTTCGTAATCTCAGTTAGGAACGGAGGAATGAATTTTCAAAAGCGCGGAGAAACCCCGAACGGCTTGCCGACGTCG